CATGCAACTCCTAGCCTTTTCACATATGATCGCTTGAGAGATGCTATCTCCTGCTATCTGTTTTTCGTTTATCCACACCAATAACAGTCTCTCAACATCTTCTATCGCTTGCGATCTCTGTTTCGAAAACAAAGTTGCACCTTTGGCAAGAACAGCTTCCTTGATTGCCGTTTTCTTGGCCACAATAGTAGCGATGGTTGATTGGAGTTTTGTGTACAACCTGGCCAGCTCGGAGACACGCACTCCACTTTCATACTTAGCAATGATCTCTCTCTTCATATCCATAGTAATTCTCACTATATAAACTATATAAAGTATATTAACTATATAAACTATATAATTCTCACTATATAAAGGGAAAGGGGACAAAAGAGATTGTAAAAATTATAGAGGAATAAGTTTACTGAGTATACCAGGAAAAGTATATGGTAGGGTTTTAATTGAAAGAATTAGAGGTAAGACAGAATGTAGGATTGCCGATGAGCAGGGAGGCTTCAGAGTGGGTAGGGGATGTGTAGATCAAGTGTTTACGTTGAAGCATATATGCGAACAGTATTTAGATAAAGGTAGGGAAGTTTTTATTGCATTTATGGATTTAGAAAAGGCATATGATAGAGTGGATAGAGGAGCAATGTGGCAGATGTTGCAAGTATATGGAATAGGTGGTAAGTTACTAAATGCTGTTAAGAGTTTTTATGAGGATAGTGAGGCTCAGGTTAGGGTGTGTAGAAGAGAGGGAGAATACTTCCCAGTAAAAGTAGGTCTTAGACAGGGATGTGTAATGTCACCATGGTTGTTTAATATATTTATAGATGGGGTTGTAAAAGAAGTAAATGCTAGGGTGTTTGGGAGAGGGGTGGGGTTAAATTATGGGGAATCAAATTCAAAATGGGAATTGACACAGTTACTTTTTGCTGATGATACTGTGCTTATGGGAGATTCTAAAGAAAAATTGCAAAGGTTAGTGGATGAGTTTGAGAATGTGTGTAAAGGTAGAAAGTTGAAAGTGAACATAGAAAAGAGTAAGGTGATGAGGGTATCAAATGATTTAGATAAAGAAAAATTGGATATCAAATTGGGGAGGAGGAGTATGGAAGAAGTGAATGTTCTCAGATACTTGGGAGTTGACGTGTCGGCGGATGGATTTATGAAGGATGAGGTTAATCATAGAATTGATGAAGGAAAAAAGGTGAGTGGTGCGTTGAGGTATATGTGGAGTCAAAAAACGTTATCTATGGAGGCAAAGAAGGGAATGTATGAAAGTATAGTAGTACCAACACTCTTATATGGATGTGAAGCTTGGGTGGTAAATGCAGCAGCGAGGAGACGGTTTGAGGCAGTGGAGATGTCCTGTCTAAGGGCAATGTGTGGTGTAAATATTATGCAGAAAATTCGGAGTGTGGAAATTAGGAGAAGGTGTGGAGTTAATAAAAGCATTAGTCAGAGGGCAGAAGAGGGGTTGTTGAGGTGGTTTGGTCATTTAGAGAGAATGGATCAAAGTAGAATGACATGGAAAGCATATAAATCTATAGGGGAAGGAAGGAGGGGGAGGGGTCGTCCTCAAAAGGGTTGGAAAGAGGGGGTAAAGGAGGTTTTGTGGGCGAGGGGCTTGGACTTCCAGCAAGCGTGCATGAGCGTGTTAGATAGGAGTGAATGGAGACAAATGATACTTGGGACCTGACAGTCTGTTGGAGTGTGAGCAGGGGCCCATGGTGACTTATTTTGCAGGTGCAATCACTAAAAATGCGGTGATAATATGAAATGTTCCAATTGTATGCTTGGAAGCGACCGCGGTGGCTGGCTTGTAAACACTGGCACCCAAGGAACAAGTGAGGCGGGCTCAAGCCGCATGTGGACGCATCTCGAACGAACTGCGTTGAGAGTTTTTTTTAGCGCTAGCCGAGGCAAAAGTTTTGCGTTAAAATGTATCGCTAGGCGGATTTAACGTTATGCGATGCGTTCGTTAGGCGAGGTTCCACTGTACTACACTGCTTATATTTATAAAAGTCTAGATATAGGGGCAGAGAAATGCTAAAAAAAAAAAAAAATCACAATGTGCAGTAGTGGTATGGCGTCTGCACCTAAAAAATTGTGGATAACATAGAAGGTCCAAAGATGTGCTGAGAATTAGCACTTGGAGCTTAAAAGTATGTTATGATAAAAAGGCTGAAAGCACTAGACTAGAAAATAAATTTACGTTCTTTTAAGATCACCCTTCCACCTACTTTGTTCTCCAAAATTATGCAGAGCATTATGAAAATATTTTAATATTAAACCGAGGTTAACACTACAACTGTGAAATACAGTGGTACCTAGAGTTTCGAACAGCTCCCAACTCAAACAATTATGTAAGTATATTTTTGTACCCCTAGTTTCGTATACCTCCCAACTCAAACAGTTATGTAAGTGTATTATTGTAAGTGCTTTTTTAAGCGTATTTTTGGGGGTCTGACACAGACTAATCTAATTTACATTATTCCTTGTGGGAACAAATTCATTCGGTAACAGCACTCAAACAGCCTTCTGGAACGAATTATGGTCGAAACTCGAGGTACCACTGTACCTTAATAGTCGAGTCCTACTTTAAGTCTGCCCGAACTGCTATTTATTATTATTTTTTTTTATCTGTAGACAACCCATTGTTGTAATATCTATGTATTATTTTAAAAAAATTAATACAGTATTTTTTTTTTTTTTTAAGTTCAAGTTTCTGTTCTGAAGCCCTTGACACCTCTCACTTCCTTTTACACTATGCAGTATTCTTAGCATTGCTCTTGCTGTAGGTGGTGGTGGTACTCTTGCAGTGACTGATGGTGGTGCTCTTGCAGTGACTGGTGGTGGTGCTCTTGCTGTGGCTGATGGTGGGGCTGCTCTTTCTGTTATTGAAAAAGACAGCTATTTACTGCTAGGTGAACATGGGCAGCTGTTGTAAGGAGATTTAACACCCAGGTACTATTTACTGCTAGGTGATCATGGATAGTAAATGTAGAGAAGCTTGCCCATATGACTCGCCATGCTTGTTTGTGTTGGCAATAGTGCTGGTGCTGCTGTTTTGATTATGACAGAAGTGCTGCTGTTGCTGCCGCTTTGATACTGACAGTGAAGCTTCTGTTGCTGCCGCTTTGATTCTGACAGTGGAACTTCTGGTAATTCTGGAAATAGTACAGCTGCTGCTGCTGCTCTTGCTGGCAGTGGTATTGCTACTATCAGTGCATGTTTTTGTTGTATGGTAACATTGTATACTCACCTGCTCAACTTTACCAATCAGTTGATTTGAGCATCACTAGTTTTTCTTCTCCAGAGATGTGAAAGGGTGGTGAAGTTGATATTCCAATAAATGTTTGCTGAACACAGTGTGAGATTAGTGGGACTGAGGCCAAACCCAAAACTTGAAATAGCCTTTCATTGTAAGATGGATTATCCATTTGTGTACTATGGCAAGTTTGAAAATCTGGGGTGCTCTCCTTTGTGTTCTAAAGAGTTTCTGCACTTTTAATAGGTATTTGGTGTTGTACTTTTCTGACTGCATTATAAGAAAAACCCTGTAACTGTGCTACCTGTGATAGTCTACTGTACATTGAGTGCTTCCTCCATAATATAAAACATATTGCTTGGATAACACTAATACTGACATTCATAAGAGCACAGTTTCACCAGAATCTTTGGGTTGATTTTCAGTTTAGTAGCTGTCTTGTGCTCATTAAAAACAAGGTGGCCATAGCAAAAAAAAAAATATAAGCAAAATATAAGCACAGCCTACATACATAAAGCAAAGGGTTGTATACAAAAAACTTAGCTCATTTCATTAAAGAAATGTTAGATTTTGGCAGTTTATACAGTTGAGTCAGTAGTTGTATTCTTGAAAATGGCATTTAATAACAAAAATTGTCTAAAATGAATTGATGAGCATATGGCAAAATAGGGTTAAGTGTCTCAGACCCCCAAAAATGGCAAACATTTTTTAGGTCTAGAGATTGAAAAAAAAAATAACAGTGTAATTGTAGTTGGATGTGGTGATATATTTAATACAATGCTTATGGTTGCAAATGTTACATAAACATTTCTTACCTTAAATTCTGGTTGCTGGTTTATGTTGGTTTTGAAAGGAGCAGAGTTTGAGAGAGAGAGAATGGGTCGATGTAGTGTGTACCATATAAAAAAAAACTGCAGCAAGCCATGCATAATGGGGGGGAACTGTGACTGTGTTTTTGGTTTAAAACTGCAACTTTGCAGTGTATTTTTGTATGGTTTTATGGTCATATTCTTGGTTTCTTGGTCTTATTTCATAGATTGAAAGATACATCACAGAAATGGAGATGATACTGATTTTCTTCAGGACAGAAATTACCTTGAAATTGAGCTCAAAGCAGTTCAAATGTTCAATTTTTACTGATAATTCAGAGCACAGAAATAACGTCACTCATCCAATGTGTGTCCAATTTGTGATGTGGGAGGGTATGGTTTCACATGTCAGGTCCTCCTCTGACCTGACCATCCAGTGATAGTACGATGGTGGTAAAACTGTAGGGAACACAGGCATTCTGCCTTATCAGGTCTCATTGTTCAATTCCTTTGTGAAAAGCATTCGTGGTGTGCCCCTTGGAGGGTGACCCCCAAAACCTAGAGTTAAGGGGGAAATGCTTTAAGGACTATATAAGCCCAAGGAAAGAGACTTCTGAGAGAGGTGGAGGGCCTGTGAGCAGGAGCTCTCAACAACCTGACAGCTGAGAAACAGTATAGAATTGGGCAAATAACTAGAGACCATTCTAAACATTACTCGTCAGTCCTTGCTAGCCTGATAAGGTCAAAAAAATTGTATTATGAAAACAGATTACATAACATAAAAGGTGATATGAAAAAGACCTGGAAAACCCTATCCGAAATTCTAGGAACTAAAAAGATATCCAAAAACAAATAAATCAAATTAACAAAATCAGACGAACCCCTACTCCCACCAACTGAAACAGCAAACAAACTTAATGTTTTCTTCTCCACCATAGGAAAGAATCTATCAAGCAAAATCCCAAGCTCAAACACCCGTCCATCAGACTACCTCATGAGCACCTACCCGAATACACTATTCCTAGCCCCAACCAACCCAACGGGAGTCTCGCTCATCATCAACACCCTTAAAAACAAGGCAAGGGACATAAATATCTAAACATCTTTTATGTACAAAAAGCATCACAAGTACTGTCACCAGTTATTGCAACACTTTAACAAATCCACTGAATCCTCCACCTTCCCAGCAATTCTCAAAATAGCGAGGGTCACCCCGATCCACAAAGGAGATGATCAGACTGACTTGAATAACTATTGACCAATATCTCACCTACCTCTGCTCTCTAAAATCTTTGAAAAATTAATTCATAGACGGATCTATTCCTACCTCGTCTCACACAACGTACTAAACCCATCACTTTGGTTTCAGGACTAATAAAAGCACAAATGATGCTATTGTACACATGCTAGAACTAATATACACTGCTCTCAAGAAGAAAGAAGTCCCGCTGGGAATCTTCATTGATTTATGCAAAGCTTTTGATACATTTGACCATGATTTGCTGCACATTAAATTAACACACTGTGGTATAAGAGGGCACTCCCTCAACTACCTAAAGTCATACTTTAGTAACAGAAGCCAATATGTGTACACAAATGGAGCATACTCTTTCACTCAACCAATCACAATCGGTGTCCCACAAGGAAGTGTCTTTGGCCCACTCCTCTTTCTCATTTACATCATTGACCTACCAAATGCATCACAGCTACTCAAACCCATATTATTTCCAGATGACACAACATACGTCTTCTCTCACCCAAACCCAGTCATACTGGCTAACACTGTTAATGCCGAATTGCAGAAAATATCTACCTGGATGATGACAAATAAGCTTACCCTCAGTACTGACAAAACCTATTTCATTCAGTTTGGAAACAGAGCTGCAAATGTTCCATTTAACATAATGCTAAACAGATCACCCATCACAAGACTCTTAGAGGGAAAATTCCTAGGAATCCTCCTTGACAATAGCCTCAAATTACTTACACACACACACACACACACACACACACACACACACCACACACACACACACACACACACACACACACACACACACTCACACTCACACTCACACTCACACTCACACTCACACACACTCACACACACTCACACACACTCACACACACACACACACACACACTCACACACACACACACTCACACACACACACACTCACACACTCACACACTCACACACTCACACACTCACTCACTCACTCACTCATTCATTCATTCATTCATTTCTAAGAAAGTCTCTAAGATAGTAGACATACTATCAAAGATACGGTACTATGTTCCACAGTCAGCTTTCCTTGCACTGTATCATTCACTCATCTACCCTTATCTCACATATGGAATTTATGCATGGGGATCAACAACATTAAATCACCTAAGACCACTTATAACCCAGCAAAAGGCTGCAGTCGGAATGATAACAAATTCCCACTCCCGACAGCATACTCCACCAATATTCAAAAGTCTAAAATTGTTTACTGTTAAGAACACACATACTTATGCATGTGCCTACTACATACATAGAACACTACACTTAAACATAAACCCTCCACTCAAACTTCTCCTCACCAACCTTAACAGGACGCACGACCACAACACAAGACACACATCTCTTTTTGATGTACCCCGTGTCCATATCTCACTGTGTAAAAACTATGCACATAAAGGGCCCCAAAATTTGGAATTCATTACCAGTAAATACTGAAGTAACCAGGTCTGAACACCAATTTAAGGCTCTTCTCAAAAACCACCTACTCACCCTAAACTAAATACTCACTATTCGATATTTAACTTTACCAAAAATCTCCCAATTAACTAAAGCGTTAAACTTCAAATCTAGACACCCAAAGTTCATACATCATTAATACTTACTACATTGTAGTATATCTACCCAAAACAATACTGCCTTACACTCAGTCGTAGCATTCTCATACTGTAAGCTACTTTCAGCAACTCGCAGTGTTACATTCCCATAATATAATTTCAATTTTCATTATTGAAACTATTGTAATTAGAGTAAAATTACTGTCTCCTATAAACAAAAAAAGATGTACAACTTAACCAAACTGTGATCAATTTCTCTAGTATTAAGTAGTCTGTAAGCCATTAACCCTTTCAGGGTCGCCAGGCTGTCTCCGAGACTTGTTCTTAGGGTCGCCAAATTTTCAAAAAAAAAAAAAAAATCTTACGAAAAGATGGAGAATCTTTTCCCGATCATAATGACACCAAAAGTATGAAATTTGATAGAAAACTTACGGAATTATTCTCTCGCGAAGTTAGCGGTCTCAACGGTGTTTACGCACCGGCGATTTTGCCCACTTTGAACCCTATTTTTGGCCAATTCCAGTGTACTAGTCGACAAAAATCATAACTATTTCGCTAGAACTCCATTTTTTCTATCGAATGTGTACAAGAAACCACCTATTTCCCAATTTCAACTATCCAATAAAGTGGTCAGAATTTAGCAATTTTGCCAATTTCACACAAATTTAAAAAAATGCCAATTTCCAAATAGGGTCCAGAATAAACAAGAAAGACATTCCTGGTGCTAAACTAACATTTCCTCTGTTCACACCCCTCTTACATTCTTTTGCTTTCCACTTTGAATTTTTCTCACAAAAAATAGATTTACTGTTATGCAGACTACTGCATTAGTGTAGGAATGGTATAAATAACATCAGCGCACTTGTGAAAGAATATTAGACTCACCAGTTGACGTGTATTGGACGCTTAGCATGATTTGTTTACTTTTGAACTTTTGTAAAAATCGAACATTTCTGCTACTTTGAGCTCAATTTCAAGGTACTTTTCATTGTAAAACCAATCAAAATCATCACAATTTCCACAATCTGTCTTCCATTCTATAAAATGAGACCAGGAAAACTAGAATACAACAATAAATACCTTACGAAAATACAGTGCAAAGTCGCTGTTTTAATCCAAAAACACGGTCAAAGTTTTATTTTTCTCATTACGCACTGTGTGCTGCAGGATTTTCTTTTATACTGCCCACACTGACTACATAGACCCATTCTTTCATATGTAGGCCTACCAGCTTTCTCTCATTAGATTTGAGGGCGCTAGAATTTAGGCGTACTAGTACATCAAAAACCCTGGTGTGTAAGCCGCACTAGTACATCTGAAACCCTAAAAGGGTTAAATTAAGTCTGCCTATAGTGCTTAGGCATGATACTGGCTCTCTTTGCACTGCAACTCATTATTGTAATTTCATAATCTCTGTGTAATCTTGCAAAGGAGTAAAATTTGTTTGTTTCGTTAGTGGGCCACGTAGGGTGGAGCCCTTGTCAGCTGGTCAGTGACTTAAGAGTGAGTATAAGTCCGTGTTACTGGTAACATCCTCTCTCTTGGTAATAATTCCCATAGATCGAATGTTATACTATGTAATTCTCCTTAGGGTAATGGTGTATTCCCTCTTTATTTATTAAGTAAACTGTAACCATTGTTCCCATTTTTATTTGTAACCCCATCTTTTGCTATTCTCCCATTTTATTAAGAAGCACTGCAAAAGACCAGCAAGCTCATACTGGGCGACCCTAAGGTACTGAGGTCAGCAGGCTGGGTGTTATGTATTTTGAGCAAGTAGTTCATATGTTTGTCTCCATTAGTGGTATACAATTTACGCACTAAATATTCGCACTGGGGTAATACAGGAGACACACTTGCTGGAATAAAGCAGTCAGAGTGGGTAATGGTCTCAGAAACTGGTTGGTCTAATACATGTCTACAAATGCGCTGACATTTTTTTTTCTCTCTCTCTCAACAAGTCAGCCGTCTCCCACCGAGGCAGGGTGACCCAAAAAGAAAGAAAAAATCCCCAAAAAGAAAATACTTTCATCATCGTTCAACACTTTCACCTCACTCACACATAATCACTGTTTTTGCAGAGGTGCCCAGAATACAACAGTTTAGAAGTATATACATATAAAAATACACAATATATCCCTCCAAACTGCCAATATCTCAAACCCCTCCTTTAGAGTGTAGGTATTGTACTTCCCATTTCCAAGACTCAAGTCCGGTTATATAAAATAACCGATTTCCCTGATTCCCTTCACTAAATATTACCCTGCTCACACTCCAACTGATCATCAGGTCTCAAATACCATTTGTCTCCATTCACTCCTATCTAACATGCTCACGCACTCTTGCTGGAAGTCCAAACCCCTCGCCCACAACACCACCTTTACCCCCTACCTCTAACCTTTTCGAGGACAACCCCTACTCCGCCTTCCTTCCCTTACAGATTTATATGCTCTCCATGTCATTCTACTTTGATACATACTCTCTAAATGATCAAACCACCTCAACAAACCCTGTTCAGCCCTCTGACTAATACTTTTATTAAGTCCACACCTTCTCCTAATTTCCACACTCCGAATTTTCTGCATAATATTTACACCACACATTGCCGTTAGACAGGACATCTCCACTGCCTCCTCGTTGCAGCATTTACAACCCAAGCTTCACACCCATATAAGAGTGTTGGTACTACTATACTTAAATACATTCCCTTCTTTGCTTCCATAGATAACATTTGATGCCTCCACATATACCTCAATGCACCACTCACCTTTTTTCCTTCATCAGTTCTATGATTAACCTCATCCTTCATAAATTCATCCGCTGACATGTCAACTCCCAAATATCTGAAAACATTCACTTCTTCCATACTACTCCTCCCCAATTTGATATCCAATTTTTCTTTATCTAAATCATTTGATACTCTCATCACCTTAATCTTTTCTATGTTCACTTTCAACTTTCTACCTTTACACACACTCCCAAATTCGTCCACTAACCTTTGCAATTTTTCTTTAGAATGTCCCGTAAGTACAGTATCATCAGCAAAAAGTAACTGTGTTAATTCCCATTTTGTATTTAATTCTTCATAATTTAATCCCACCCCTCTCCCGAACACTGCTAGCATTTACTTCTGTTACAACCCCATCTATAAATATATTAAACAACCATAGTGACATTACACATCCCTGTCTAAGACCTACTTTTACTGGGAAATAGTCTCCCTCTCTTCTACATACCTAACCTGAGCCTCACTATCCTCATAAAAACTCTCTACAGCATTTAGTAACTTACCACTTATTCCATATACTTGCAACATCTGCCACATTGCATCTCTATCCACTCTGTCATATGCCTTTTCTAAATCCATAAATGCAATAAAAATTTCCCTACCTTTATCTAAATGCTGCTCACATATATGCTTCAACGTAAACACTTGATCTACACATCCCCTACCCACTCTAAAACCCCCTTGCTCATCTGCAATTCTACATTCTGTCTTACCTCTAATTCTTTCAGTAATAACCCTACCATACACTTTTCCTGGTATACTCAGTAAACTTATTCCTCTGTAATTTTTACAATCTCTCTTGTCCCCCTTCCCTTTATATAAAGGGACTATACACGCTCTCCACCAATCCCTAGGTACCTTCCCCTCTTTCATACATTTATTAAACAAAAATACCAACCATTCCAACACTATGTCTCCCCCTGCTGTTAACATTTCTGTCATGATCCCGTCAGTTCCAGCTGCTTTACCCCCTTTCATTCTACGTAATGCCTCGTACACCTACCCCACACTCACATTCTGCTCTTCTTCACTCCTAAAAGTTGGTATACCTCCCTGGCCAGTGCATGAAATTACCGCCTCCCTTTCTTCATCAACATTTAAAAGTTCCTCAAAGTATCCTCGCCATCTACCCAAAACCTCCATCTCCCCATCTACTAACTCCCCTACTCTGTTTTTAACTGACAAATCCATTTGTTACCTAGGCTTTCTTAACTTGTTTAAGTCCAAATTTTTTTTCTTATTTTCATTAAAATTTCTTGACAGTACCTACCTCTCCCACTCTACCATCCACTCTCCTTTTGCACTCTCTTCACCTTTCTTTTACTCTCCATATACTCTGCTCTTCTTA